CTCCTCTCAGAGTCGAGCGCTCTATAAATTTATTCTGTTCAAGTTCAAGAAGTATATATATATATATATACTTCAAATAAATGATTTCAGTAGCTGACTACTTTCAACCTCTGTCTATTGCTAAATCAACATTTTTCATCATCAACACAGGTTTTAAAGACAAATATATCATAGTGCCAAAGTTCATGCCAGTTTTAAGGGGTCCCCTGTATGAACCACGATTTGTTGATACTTTGCGTGGCGGCGCCAGTTTCCGTAGACTTTCAAGTCTTATAGAACTAAAATATTTACATCAGGCTTCAAATTTCGTGCCAAATATTCCCACATTAGCTGGTAATGTTTAAGTGTAAAAGCTAATTTGTAAAAGTATATTTTTTACGAACATTATTCTAAGCTGAAAGCTCAAATATAAGTAAAGAAACGTTTTCAATCGCGTGCTTGATTACCGTAAACAAACTCCGTGCAACTGATTCGAGTATTTCCCCTGATGTATAAAATAGACAGCATTTACATTGCCGTTCCTTGGTTCAGGCTCACTCTAATCGAACTTCCCCTCAGAGTACTTTTCCACCGATTCCACACAATATTTGACCGGACAAACATCAACAAATGAAATCCGAATACAGCCAAAGAAATATAGTTCTCCCAAGGTTAACATCCCAAAGCCAAGAAGATTCAAAGCCGTGTTCGTGAACATAAATAATAAACAAGGACAGTTCCCTCAAACTTCGATAAATGCTACCGTAGAAGCGTTTCAACTCACCCAAATCCAACGCTGAGAGCACAAAATATCGAAGCTTACGGCGAGTGAATGGGAAGAAGGATCCACATGCTCACATGTTCGTCACACCTCTTATCAAATGTTTTAGTAACGGTACCAGTTTACTGGCCGTGACATTTCATGCAAGAATCAAGCGGGGTGGTCATTTCGGTGTCCAGGAATGTGGATTTAGTACCCTGCGGCTTAGCTAGTACCCTGCGTAACAGGCGTATTTTTTGCTCATGCGGCTGTTTTGTTTCTTCCACAAGGGCAGAGGTTAGTCACCAGATCCAAAGCGCTTCTCTATCATCTGTGTCCCTAGGTCGAATTTCATGTAGCTCACTTAACGCCCACCTCATGATCACGGGGTTCGTACTTCTAGCCTATATCGGTTATGAACAACTTTACTTTCCGTTATCAGGGAAAGATGAGTCACTTAAGAGAGAAGCAAAGATTGGGAAATCAAAAGCCTATCACTCAGCTTTTTGCTGACAGAATCACCTGTCTACCTTTAGCTGTCAAAGATGGCCTTAAAAGTAAGTGTGCTGTGCTTGACTCGTACAGGCAGTTTTTGGGCGTCAAATTTGCAAAGCTTACCACGCATATTACTCACAGAAAACTATGTTTGTAGCCGTTTTAGGACAACGTAACGTAGGTTGAAAATAATACCGTGTTTTGGTAAAAGCTTTAGATTTTGCTGACACTCGCTCATGTATTTGAGCCGTACAAATAACAGGAAAGTTTGCATCATTATCGCGCAAAGTAATAGTCTTGACAACAGCTTTGCCGCTGGTCCTCTGTTAATAAAAAATGAAATTCTCACTTTGTTTTCTTAATTAAACAAAATCATCCACTCCCAACAATTTAATGAGGAAAGTTAAGACAGTTTGAGCACCATGTGTGTTCCGAGCAGGACCCCCCGTCCCACTTTAAGGGGTTGCAAATGGAAATACTTGGTTTTCCACCGAAGTCTGAGGCGAAGAGTGTTGCCATGGCAAAGTCACAATGGGTGTGATTCTCTTTCTGTACATTTCTTGCGCCACATTTGAAGAATAGCGCGCCATTATTTCTAGAGATGGTCTTGATTAAGTTTTTACTGTTTTACTGGAACTACTTATGACGTAATCACTTTCCTTATTTCCATAATACAAAAACGTAAATATCTCTATTTTGAANCTTGATTAAGTTTTTACTGTTTTACTGGAACTACTTATGACGTAATCACTTTCCTTATTTCCATAATACAAAAACGTAAATATCTCTATTTTGAAAAGCTTTTCAAATAAGCAGCAATTATTTTTTACTTCATAGGCACTATAAACTCCTTAACTTCTCATATAGTTTGTAGTCTTGTGCTAGTTCATGTAAAATTCATATTTAGCAATTTTCATTTATTTTTTGTTTATTGCCCCCATGAAAATATAGATTACCAAACTTCATTCATTTTCAAATACGGGAGCAATTTTCATATCGATCGGATTGGACGGAGACTGTTAAAAGGCTGATAAAAATACATGGTATCTTTCAGAAAAAAACTGTATTGAGACATGGTAAAAGAAAAGTTAATCGAGTAATGCATATAGTGTTTATTTTATGTCCTATCGAGCGTCATTTTGTGAAATTTAAATTTCGGATGGACGAAACTTTAACTTGGGCAAGACATAGCACAATATCAAGTCGAACAAATGTCAGTGTCATTCATGCGAGACATGTTCTGACGTCAGTTGAAGTTGAAAGTGAAAAAGTGCAAGGGTAGGTGCGCCGACTTCATGTAGTTGCGGGGGTATATCAGAGGGGTTTTGGGCTTGAAGTCACGAGCTGGCTTCTTCCACTTTAAACCGAGAGTGATTTGTTAATTATAATGATAAATGGCTGAATGAACCACTATGTATGCAATTTGTCGGCTTTGGCTAGGAACAGGAAGTTGATTTTTACATTAATTTGAAATTGCTAAAATGACAGGCTTGTTCAAAACAATTAATCTGCAGTTTCCTAATAAGAAGCAAATTCGTAATGAGTGATTGATTAATGGGCTGCACGAGTGGAAAGCCTATTGAATTAAAGAATTAAACCTTAAAAGGACTAGTTTAATATTTAGGCGCATCAAAGATGAAAATAATTGTCCGAGCTATATATAACAGAACTTTTAACGAGAAACTCAGACCGACACACAATAACCAGTCGCTATGCAAAATATAACTTAGTGTGCCTCTCCTATAACAGAGAAACGGAAGGGGGGCGAACTTTCCAAGCCAATGGAGCAAAACTATGGAAGAGCATCCCTTTAGACATTCGCAAGAAAGACTCCATTGGCTCCTTTAAATCTTCTGTTAGAAATTTTTTTTGTCCAAAAACTCTTTGCTTAGTTTTTAGCTGTGCATATCTAGACTTAGATTTTTAAAATTTTTAACTTTTATCATATCTTTAAATTTTAGCTGTATTCTATTTTGTAATTTTTATTATCTTATAAGTGTAAATCGTTTTTAATTTTTGACTTAGGATATAGGGCCACTGGTTCGTCAGTTTTTTACTGTTATGTGTTACCCTCTGTAAATAAAGTTGTTACTCACTTACTTACTTACTTACTTGCTTGCTTGCTTGCTTGCTTACTTACTTACTTACTTACTAAACTGACGCCAAAAATTAAGGTCAAACAAACAACGTCATTGTTTTCAGTTAGTTCGCAAACAACTCCATTGCAGGGAGTTGTTCAGTAGCCAACTCTACCTTCACGAGATCTATATCGGTTAGCATGCATTCTCTTGTCATCTCTTGGATGTCTTATTTGATGCCTTTTCTGATACCCGAGGTTAGCGGCTCTACCGGAGGTCAGTTTCCCTTCTTTTGTTATTATTTTGTAACCATCTATTTTCATCACTCTGACAAACCATCTTTGCCAAAGCATTGTGTTATTATCACCAATTGTCATTACTTACGAACGTTCCTGTTCTTTATTATCTGTTTTCTAACTATTCTTTAAAAGACAGCATCGTTCGTGAGGGGTGGTTTGATTTGTAACCTTATTTTCCAAAGAAATCCCCGAA